TCCAGAGATGTGACAGAAGCTCTAATTCTCCAGCTTTTTAGCCAGATTGGACCTTGTAAAAACTGCAAAATGATTATGGATGTAAGGGTATTTTACTTAGTTAACTTTCTTCTTTTTTTTGTAATGCATTATTTAAATCCATTACTTCAAGAAACTCTTAAATTAGTTCATACAATCTAAATTCATAGGGATTTTAGTGAATTTGTAATGAAACAGTTTGGCCCCTGAGTTAGTTTTTACTAAACGAAGGAGAGAACAGTACTACTCATGGCAAGAGCAGGTGAGAGCTATGTGTAGGCTCTTGTTTTTAAGGTAAACTAAAGCATCACAACTGTTTATATTATGTGATGTTGGTCAGTTGGCTAATATGGGAATTCAGTTATTACAATTAGATTGGAAAATTAGGTCAAAACTAGTAGACATTCAGTACTCTGAAAGTACTTTTAACTTCATTTTTGAAGTTCATGATTCAGGTTCTTTCCCCATTGTAGCAGTTCCCATCCATCAGACCTTAAAAGTATAGAAAAAACATTCATTCATCCAGTTGGTGTTAACATTGAATCATAATATGTATAAAAAATAAAATAAAATATTTTTAATGGAGAAAAAAGTGCTAATGAGAAATCCTTTATCCTATGGTCTTTCCTTTAAGCTTTCGGGGTTTTTTGTACCCAGGAAAGAAAATCATCTATGTGTATATATGTAGCTACTTTCTTTTCTATTGTATTCCAGTTTAACTCTTTTGCTTGGTATTTTGTAAAGTAATTGTTTAGCCATTTGGCTTTGGTTTGTTTTAGATTTAAAGTGTCAAACATTTCTCCTAATGCAGCAGGGTCATCTCTGTATACAGCTGACCCTTGAAACACAGGTTTGAATTGTGTGAGCCACTTCTATGCAGACTTTTTCAGTGAATACAATACAGTATTGTAAATATATTCTCTCCCATACAATTTTCTTCATAACATTTTCTTTCTCTAGTGTACTTTATTGTAAGAATATAGTATATAATACATACAATGTATAAATATGTGTTAATTGACTTTATGTTATTGGTAAGCCTTCTGGCCAGTAGTACACTGTTAGTTTAAGTTTGGGAGGAGTCAAAAGTTACACTTGGATTTTTGGCTGCATTGGGGTTCAGTGCCCCTAACCCCTGCATTGTTCAAGGTTTAATTATAATAACAGATGAATTCAACAAATGATTTTATTCTTACACTCTTAAGTGTTTTCTGCCCACATTTAATATCTATGTACCTTTGGATAAAGAAGAAAAGATCTCTGTACCCATAGAGAAAGATAAGAGGGAAAGATGGGAAAATGGTGGAGAATTTAAAAACAATCTCTTTGATCTGGTTTTCCTTCCTTATCCCTGTAATAGCATTTATGGAATGCTTGCAGTCTCTTATTTTAATACTGATACATTATCAGAAGTGCTCGATAGAAACAAAGCAGATTTTTTTCCCGTTTAATACATGCAGAAATGAGGCAAAGCAAGGATGCAAACTCAGAGGGATGTATCTGAATATAAATCCTTTCCATTGTCTGGGTCATTCTAGATATTTGGTAAAGATCACTAGGCGAAACATTAATGACTGCCCGACCTATTGAAAAAACTCAAGTCTAAATTCCAGTCTATTCACATTATTAGACTGATCTTCATATTTATGAATTTTATTTGACCTGAAGTATAAAGGCTGATAATGTGTATACTTAGATTCTTTTTATCTAAAAAGTAGTTTTTTCTGGGTACAAGTTAATGAAGTAAAATGAATATCCTTTTTCATTTGACAGCTCTACTCTTAAGCTACTTTTTCTAACCACATTCTGATGCCTATCAAGATTCATCTTTGTAGTAGAATTCCCATCAAGTTATATTCTGTTTGTTAAATAAAATAATGCATAGTCTCAATATCATCAGTTTTGTGGTTGCCTCCTTGTTCTAAAATTCTTAAAAATCACTGCCAGTGACTTTTTAAAACCATTTGCTTGAAACAAAATTGTATATTTGTTTACTCACTATCATTCTAGTCTTTTGAATTTGAACAATTCTGCTTTGGAAATTATGGAAAGAATTTTAAATGGACTATAAAATCACTTAGTATTTTGTACTGATAGATATAAAATATTGGGTGTTCTTTTTTGCTTTAATTTACAGTACAGCATTCAGACTTCATTAATTCTCAAACCTCAACTACTTGGAACAACAATAGAAAAGAGGAGAGAATTGTTAAAAGATTCCTAAGCAGGCAAAAGATTGACGTCAGGAAGTCCATATTCTAAAACCTATTCTAAAGCTTTACTTTCCAAAGAACCTCTTCAGTTTTCAGAGCCTACTTATATTTTAGAAACAGGTTTAAGAAGATTGGCTGAGATTTTCTGCTACTCAGTAAGTTAGAAGTGGCAAGGATATATTTACAATTATAGCAATAAAAAGTAACATAACGGAACAGGAAAAAATTGAAAGCCAGCCAACATTAAGAGTTGAACACAGGGATCTAGTCAAACTTAAAGCCTCTAGCTAGAAATGACCTATGATGGGGAGTCTATACATATAGGTACATATCCATCCATATTTGGGACACTAAATCATTAATAAAAGAAATTATGTATAGCAGTATAGTATAGCTTGCTGAAGAAGAGAAGATAGCTTTCTATAAAAATAGTTGTTCTTAAGTGTTTACTTCCTTATCTGAAGATTTACTTGTGGAATGGACCCTTTATTCTCCATGGCTGATAACTGAGATGTATAAAGCTTTAGATAATTTGAAGTAATAAGTATAAAACTTAAAAATGGCTTTTTTTGTTTCTTCAACAGACAGCTGGAAATGATCCATATTGTTTTGTGGAGTTTTATGAGCATCGTCATGCAGCTGCAGCACTAGCTGCTATGAATGGGCGGAAGATAATGGGTAAGGTAAGCTGTCATAATTAAAGAAGGTGACAGGTGACTTGGACTGGAAAATTTTAAGTTGCATACAGTTTTGCTTCCTTTTTAGAAGATTTATATTCACTTCAACAGAAGATCACACTTAGTATTTTTTTAAATGAGGTGAAGCTTTTAGAAGGTGTGTTTATATTAGTATTCATGGTGCCTTGCAATGAATTGAAATATTTGCTGAATTATTCAAGCTTGGCTGAAACATCTAGGAACTTTGGATCCTAATGGGGAAGAATAAAAGAGAAAAACTATATTGGTACTTTAGATAAGAAAGGTTAGTTGAATATTAACAGAAGTATGTAAGATAAGGATTCATCTATATTGTTTGCTTAAATGTAGGTTAAAAGATAAATATTAAAACTTTGACCAGAACTGGTATCTTCCTGAATGTTTTGTCTCAAATATGTACCTCCCTATGTGTTCATAGATGAAAATTTTTTCTTATTTTGAGCTTTATTTTTATGGAGTGTAAATGTAGAAAAATTTTTTTAGGAAGTCAAAGTGAATTGGGCAACAACACCCAGCAGTCAAAAGAAAGATACAAGCAGTAAGTATATATTATGCTTTTTGAACGTTTGTTTTTAATATACACAGTAGTTTTATTTTAAAACATAAACATCATACGTTTGCAGTAATGTTTTGATCGTTATCCTAAGATATGATTGAATGTGTTTGTGTTAATAAATTTAAGAACAAATCTAATCTTTGTCATCAGGTAGTACCGTTGTCAGCACACAGCGTTCACAAGGTAATTGTATCTTCTTAAACATAAAATGAAATCTCTTGAAAGGGTATTCACTAACCACCTGAAGTTTTTTGTTTGATATTGGGGGGATGGGGGAGGGAGGAAGTCATTATTTCTGTTTGTCTCTCTGGCAGTATTTTTCCCCTTCTTCCCAGTGTTTGCCAAGTGTGGCTTGTCCACTACTTTGGTGCTGTTTCAAGCTCTCTGACCCCCTTGGTAGCAGCTGATGCCTTAGAAATATTTTCACCAACTAAAGGGCAAGATACCCTGCTTCCTTGAGGTCACAATCTGTGCTTCGTACCTAGATCTTCTGATTGCTTGAGTTGCTCCTGAAACTGTGTTTCCCAAATGGCAACCAAATACATTGCTTAAGGCCTGCCAGATAGGGGTAACTTTTCTTTCCAAATATACCTTGTCAAAATTGATAAGTATGTCCATTTGAAAGTGTTGATCCAACTATTTTATATTTTTTTAAGTGTTTCTTTTTTTGAGCATTGTCTTTTTTAAAAAACTTCACATATGGGATCGTTATTTCTCTCCAATGCTTTTTTAATGGCTCTGATATAAAGTGAAGGGATTACTGTTTTCATTCTATTGCCTTCAGTCTTAGTTCACTTGCACATGGATTCACATAAACTGAATGGTGTAATGTCTGGGCAACCAAAACTGTTGGCTTTTGAGAAAACTGTCAAATACTTTAACATCAAACTGTTGCAATGCAAGGTATTTCTTTGATTGTTCTTCACAAAATATGGTTAAACCAAGTATATCATATAGCTAGCTTCAGTAAATTGTCTTAACTGAGGCAAATCTAGTCTATATAACTCAATACCACTATTTTAATTTAATTTGTAGGGTTCTAATATAGTGGTAAACTAAATAAATGTAAATACTATTAGAATGGTAATTAAGTCATTAATAGTTTTTCAAAACTTGATATATGTTTTCTTAGACCAGTATAATAATTGGTTGTAAGTAGAACTATAAGTGTCAGTTTCCAGTTAGATAATATCAGTCTTTAGGAGAATCTTTGCTTATTGTCACCTTGATTCATTATGTTTAAAATTGATAGGATTTGTATAGATAATAGGATAGTGTTATACTTTACTGTAATCTGTAAGTTATTTTAAGAATACTTTAATGAATAGATTTTAGTATTTTTTAAATTCTAAAATTTTGTTTTTCTTTTCACTTCCCCTTCCTTCCCCTTATAAGATCATTTCCATGTCTTTGTTGGTGATCTCAGTCCAGAAATTACAACTGAAGATATAAAAGCTGCTTTTGCACCATTTGGAAGAATATCGTAAGTAACAGAAGATAAAGTTAAAATGCTTTTAATTAGGAACACTTTTATATAGAAGTACTTTGAAAATCTATTGTGAATTTTGGACATTAAATTTAACACTGGAATATGATACATTATTACATTGTTTAGGCACTATTCAGGCAGTTAACAGCCAAAGATTGTTTTCTCATTGATAATTAAATCTTTGGTCTTCAGTTTTCTTAAAATCCTTTTTCAATTAGCATTAGCTTTTAAGAGGCAAATACTGTACATATATTTTCTTACGTAAGTGTCTTGCTAGCTTGGTCATAATCTTTAGTAAGCTTGTGCTGTGACTAAGGAATTTAGACCTTTTGGGCATTTCTATGATACCATGCATTTTGTGTTAATATATTTTAACAAAAAGAAACCTTAACAGTTCAACCTAAATAGCAGTTATTAAATATTAATTCCCAGGTATTTACCCTTTTGTTGTTACTATTAACAACAATAATAATGCCATTAAGTAATCTTCTGAAGCACTGTCTTGTTTGCATTTGTTAATTACAGTTTAGGCCCTTTGTAAAAAGCTCCCTCAAGGTAGTATTCATCAAGAGAACTTTAATTTTTGAAAAGCATGCCATATTAGAGTAAGAATATATCTGATAATATCAATAAGTTGATTATAGCACTTTCTTAGAAGTAACTGTTGAATTTAGAAAACAAATTTTTTAGGATTTCTTGTTACTTAATTATTATTGCTTCAGCTGGAAGAATAGTAAATAGGAAAGCATTAGCTTTGGTTTGGTTTGAACAGACCAACAACAGAGATACAGTGTGAGGAGACAGGAAAGTAAATGCCAGTAGTGTGGGTGATGAATTTTGGGAGTCTTTGAGAAGTTGTAGTTCATTGGTCTGTAGCTTGAAAATGCATAGTGGCCAAGGAATGGCCCATAAGTAAGGGGCCAACTTTAAAGGTGGTTGCAAGATTAGGGTTTGTAAATGGACTCTTCTGTTAGGAGACATTTTCCTTTGTGAGAAATGATTAGGAAAATCAGTGAAGTTCCAACTTCTTGATTTTTTTAAAAATCTGTTACAGGGTGTTAATGATGATTAGCTTGCTTTCAAATATATTGACTGTCAGGTCTTAATCTTTGGCCTCTCATAAATTGTATAAATTTCTATGTAAAATTTTGTGTTTGTTTTCATTTTGGTGTGGAGTATCTTTTTAAGTTTTATACAATTTTCAGAGTAGTCACTGGAACCATGAAAGAATTCAAGAACCCTGATCTAGATCTTTGCTGTTTTGTAGAGAATCCTTTCAGAAATAAGTGATATATTATTTCAAGGCTAACATTTCCTGAAATTTAATTCTAAGAAGAAAAAAATTTTCCAACATTTTAACATATTAAATAGCTATTGGATTTTGATTGAAGTAGCTTTTCTGTTAACATGGGGATTTCAGTTTGAGAATAGATATTGTTTAACAATCGATTAGTTAAATGACATTCAAATTTTAGTGATTTCATGACTTTTTAATCATGGATCAATAATTTCTTTTTGTTAAATGTGTTGGTATCATAATTATAGTCTAGATTTTCATATGGTCAGCCATGATTATTGATGTATACATTATTTTCTCTTGGTAAGGCCTTTAAGTTTTATAATTTTCAGTTGAGATGATGTATAATATCTAAGCTTCAGTCTACCAAGGAGTTAGTGTTCCTAAATTTAAAACAACCATCTTCAGTTGGTAGCATTATTTCCCGATTTTTTTTTTGTTGTTAAAGGAGATAAGCTAATAACTATATAGTGAAAGAGTCTCATGATAGTGAGATATTCTGTTAGAGATCCTCCAACAGTGCTTGATTTATAAAAGCTGTGTAGTGAATGTTAGCCTACTAAAATATTTAGTATAAAAAAATACAGTACATGTATCCTAACTGATTCAATTTAAACTCTGTTCCTTGAGTTTAGGGTAGTCTAACAAACTTGGTTTAAAAGTGAACCTGCTACCAAAATAAATGCATGTGTACCATATAAATAATTTAATAAGTACTTTTATATTTTAAGAAGTGACTTGAATTAGTTTAACCTTTTCACCACCTCTTTGTCATTTTGACCCTAAACACTTAATAAATCACTCCTCCATTGATCAAATATGCTTATGTATACTTTAATATAAAATTATATTGCATGGCTTTCTGACTTGGGTTTTTGTTGTAAAGTGCCTGTTTTGTTCATGTGTCCTGAGAGAACAAGCATTGTGACATACCTGGCTAACTTTAAAGCAGATTGCCTGTGAAGCACAATTTGAGTCCAATTTTTTGAGGTATGGAGTTTTAGCTATCATGGCTGGGTTTTTTACTCAATCTCAAATAATAGGGCTCTGGTTATTTTGCAGAGTGTCTCTGAAGAATGGACAGAATTGCCCTGGCTAACTACAAGCTACCGTTCACAGTGGATAAATGTTGGCGTGCTTTTTTACTTTCTGACTTTTTAAAATTTTGCTTTAATATCTTGTAGTTTCCAATCAATCTTATATGACTACTATTTTAAAATTCAGTATAAAATCTTTTCTTATATCGTTTAAAACTAAAGTGTGTATCTAGTATTCTTCTTCAATGATTTAGCATTTCTGAAAACATCAAGTTCTCAAAATTTACCCGTAGTCCAAAAGGGGGGTATGGATTGATCTGAGAAAATAAAATAATTTAATTTAGGGAATATACAACTTTTTCATTCTTTTAGTTTCCAGTTTTCTATTTTAATTTCTTAATGTTCAGGTAGCATATAGTGTCAAATAGCAAATTATAAATTGCATGGTTAAAGAAAGCTGTTCATCTAATGTGCCTACAAGTAGTTAAGTAATTTCATGTGAATAGCTGCTTTCACCATGCTTAATATTTAAAAGTTTAAAAACCGTATGAAGTGAGGCAGTTTGTGTACAGTGTATATATTTAAGATGTTATTGATTTGCATGTTTATAGAATTAAGCCTCATTTGCTAATACATGATAAATTTTATAGACTAAAAAGGTAAATTCGCATTAAAGGTTCATTTTAATGAAGATGAAACATGAAAATGAATTGTGTGTGAAATTCTCACTTGATATCCAGAGTGGAGTTTGCAAACCTAAACTTCTGGTTATTTCTGATTTCAGAGATGCCCGAGTGGTAAAAGACATGGCGACAGGAAAATCTAAGGGATATGGCTTTGTCTCCTTTTTCAACAAATGGGTGAGCTCAATAAAAAGTGCATGTGCAGTACTTTAAGAGTAAGAAATGAAAATACTGTTTCAGTTAATCTTTTCTTTCATCTGCTGTTTGTTTGTTTCACTGATAATTAATACCCTCACTAGAGGATATTTTCTTTTTGCTGTTTGGTCGTTTATTCAACTTTTATTTAATGACTGGTATGTGCATGCAAAGTACTGTTAAAATGTTTTCAGAATATAGGAAGTAGAGGTGTTTAAATTATCAGTGAAAGATAGGAATTGAAAGTCTCATATATGTATTTAGTTCATTATCTCCCTGTTTATATTCCCATGATAATTTAAAAGTAGCAAATAAATTGTTCCAGTGGATGGAGACTTTTTTAAATTGTATATTAATGTATTTGAATATTTCTCATCATTTCTTTCAATTCAGCAAATATTTACTGAACACCAATTTGTACGGACTTGAAATTTCTGATTTTTGCAGAGTAAAGGAAAGATAATATAGTTTGTCAAATGAGAGGTGAGAATACGGTATATAAAGAGGGGAAGGCTCAAGTTTAGTGTGACAGCTGGACAAAATCTTCGTTGTGTCCTCCACACAATGTAATACTGTGCGCATCATGTGCAAAGGAAGGGAGCATATATTTGTGTGTGTGGTGTGTGTGTGTTTCTCATGCAGGGTTTCCTGTTTGGGGATAGATAATAAGAGTTAGGCAAATAAGGGACAGAACAGGAAGCCTCTCACTGTATTGTATTATTTGAAGTTTGAACATTATAAATATGTTACAAATTCAAATAAATAATTTTAACTTTTTTAGTGTATAATTCAAGGTTCGAAACAGTTAAATGCAGAGATATTCACACTTCCAAAATTATAGGGGTGAATGGTGGCCCATGCACTAATCTTGGACATACTAATCTTAGTACACACTAAGGTTTCATTTCTGTTGAATCCTACTGTATTGCCTCTATGTTATGACTATTATTTGCCAATGAAAAGTACAGAAACACCATATTTTCTGTGTAAGAGTGCCTTAGAGTAAGCCATTAAAAGCTTCTGATAGTATTAGAATGTATTTTAGAAAGGCTTTTCTTAATTTAGTAAGTGGAATATTTGAAATACTTTATCATTTCTTGATGACTTCACATTAGATTTATGAACATCAGTTATTATACTAGTTCCTTCTGGGTTTTTTAAAAATACATCTGTGTGCAGTGTGCCAAATAATGTCAAACTGTTTTGTTTTTTTCTCATTCCTGTCTACTTATATTGAGACCAATGTCTGGTTATTCCTTAGTTATGAACTCTTACAATCCAGCCAAAAGAGCTTGCAACCATTTTTTGCCCAAAATTTTAAGTCTCTCCCAAGATAACTTCCTGGTCAGCTCCCTGATAAGTCCTGATTATGAAATGCCAGACTGAGGTTAGGACTCTAGATATAAGTATATATTCTAGTCATGACCTTAATTTCTGTGTGAGTGACTTTTGTTTTGTTTTAAGGCAACAGAATCTTTATTGTAGTTTAAAATACATTAAAATATCAAAAAAAAAAGTCTGCCCTAAAAATATTTACATGGCTTGCAAGTTCAAGCAAGAGAATGTAGAATGTACTGTAGTTGTATGGAGTAGCTGTTCACACAGTAACATTGTATCTTGCAATCAGACTGTTTCAATGTGTTATGCAGTATGACTATCATCTTCCTCACATGAAGTGAAAATATCTTCTAAGAAATTAGAAAATCTTGTAAAGAGAGTGGGTAACCCTAAGATGTCAGCAAAAACCCATGTATGAAAGGTTGGAAATAGTAAAGCATATTGGGAGGTGAAAAAGTAAAAGCTCTGCCGTGTGTTTGTCCCATCCACCAAGTATAAGGTTTAGCCTTTCCCTGCTTATCCCCATTTCTCTGCTGTAATTCAGAATCAAACTTCTCAAAAGAGTTGTTTGCATATGCTTCTGCTTGTCTTCCATACACAACCTTAACATTCATACACACCCTAAAAAGTTTTTTTGCCTTTGTTAGTAGCTGTTTTTGTTTTCTACAGCTCCTGTATCAAAGTACCATAAGCTAAATGGCTTAAAGCAACAAAAATTTATTCTCTCAAAGTTCTAGTGGGTGAAAGGCCAAATCAAGGTGTCATCATGGCCATGTTCCCCCTGAAAGCTCTGTGGAAGAATCCTTTGTTCCTTCTTCTTTGTTTCTTGTGGTTGCTAGCAATCCTTGGTGTTCTTGACTTGCAGCTTCATTACTCCAAAATCTGCTTATCTTCACATGGCCCTCTTTCCTCTTTGTGTGTCCACATTGGCTTCTCCTCTTACAAGGATTTTAGATTTAGGACCCACTCTAATCTAGTATGATATGTCTTAAGTAATACATCTGCAAAGACCCTATTTCCAAATAATGTCATAGTCACATTAGGGATGGGGAAGTGGGGTGTTAGGACTAAATATCAAATTAAAGGACAAAATTAAACCCATTATCAGCAGTTAAACATCTCATGGAGTTCAGTCTGGTTAGTGCAGTAAACAATGTTTGTTTCTTTTTAAGAATATGCATTTCACAGTATCTGTGAAGTGCAATAATGTGAAATGTAATAAAAAAAAGTATGCCTATCAAAAAACAAAAGAATATTCATTTCTTTTTTATATGTCTTAAAATTAGTTTTTAACCTTACATTTTCCTGTTCTTTGGTGCTAGGGTAAGCCCACATTTGACATAGCAAAACATTTCCTCTTCAGTCTGCTCTTAAGTTGGCCTGCGTTCTCAGTCTACCAGTACTACTCTTTTCAAGTTTACCTCTTGATTTCTGCTTCCTTGGTTCTGTGACAGAAAACTTTTGTGGGTTCCTTTATCATTGGGTACTCCTTAGTCATCTCAGCTAGCAATTTTTCCTTTACCCAGTTGTCAGATTTTCCTGTTTTTCAGGGCTCTTTGCTAGAATGCTTACTTTTTTATTTTATTTTTTATTAAGGTATCATTGATAGATACTCTTACGAAGGTTTCACATGATCAACATTGTGGTTACTACATTCACCCATATTATCAAGTCCCCCCACCCACCCCATTGTAGTCACTGTCCATCAGCATAGTAAGATGCCACAGAGTCACTACTTGTCTTCTTTGTGTTACACTGTCTTCCCATGACCCACACACCACATGTGCTGATCATAATGCCCTTCAATACCCTTCTTCTTCACTCCCCACCCATTATCCCCCACCCCTCCCCTTTGACAACCATTAGCCCTTTCTTGGGGTCTGTGAGTCTGCTACTGTTTTGTTCCTTCAGTTTCACTTCTTACAGGATGCTTTCTTTTATCTCTTTAGTCTGTTCATGACTCCAAATTTTGTATCTCCAGTTGTTTACGTCTTTGTGCTCCAATTTAATAACAAATGGTTCATCATTTAGATGTCTTGCAGACGTGTCAAACTTAATGTATCTTGCATGGGGCTCTATTTCTTATTCAGACCTGTTCCCCTCCTCCCTCCCAGACACCTCGTTTCTGTAAATGCACTATCGTCCCGACTGCCCAAACAGAAGCCTAGGAGTTACCTTCTTCCTGCCTTTTTACTTACTGTGCATACCCCCTCCCACAATTCTGCTGACTCTTCCTTTAGATTATATCCACTGCCACTGCAGCAGTCCTGGCCACCAGCATGTTTTAAAATCTGGATATTGCATTAGTCTCATAAAGTATGTTTTTACTTTTACTACCCATCTCCTTAAGCCATTCTCCTAGCGCTGAGAATGGCCTCCTTAAAACATAAATCAGATGACAATCTTATACTTGGAATCTTTCAGTTTTTTTCCTCTGTCACTCTTATTTTGCTCACTAGATTCCACTGAAACTAGTCATCTGTCACATGCTTCTTTGAGAAGCATACCAATCTCTTTTCAGTATTAACAGACTTGGCAATGCTTTCCCTCTACCAGGTTTTCTTCCCTGGTGTTTTGATTTGATTAATTCCTATTCCTCTCTCTCAGAGAGACCTCCCCTAATCATAATGTCTAAAGTGTGTTTTGTTAGCTTTTTGTTTCTGTCATGGCATCTACCAAAATTTGCAATTGGTTTACTTATCCCCCCAAAAGAATGTAAGCTCCATGGCAGCAGAAACTATGTCTGCCTCATTCACCAGTGTATCCGTAGCCCTTACCCTGCTGCCCAGGACATGATAGCTGTTCAATATTTAGTTGTTGGATGAGTAAAAAAACAAATACTATCATTAACAAGTTTGTTGGATTGTATAAGGTAAGATTTTCATCCATAATAGTCCAACTTGTTAAGCCTTTTAATAGCTATCTCATAAGGATTTGGGGACTCTGGACTTTTTCAGGGGATGAATGTTCCCAAAGTCTGATATCCAAATAAAAGAAAGGTAATTTAAAAGCACCATTGCCTTTTAGGAAAATTACCATACAGTTTATTTCATAAAACATTTTCATTCAAAAAACATTTGTGAGAAGGAGTTATGCGTTTTCTCTACTGCTAACACTTGTTTAACATCAACTAATAGTGGCTTCTTTGTCATTTTTAATGTTGTATGGAACAGGATGCCGAAAACGCCATTCAACAGATGGGTGGCCAGTGGCTTGGTGGAAGACAAATCAGAACTAACTGGGCAACCCGAAAGCCTCCAGCTCCAAAGAGTACATATGAGTGTAGGTGTATTGGAGAAGAAAAGGAAATGTGGAATTTTGGAGGAAAATACACTAGATTTTAAATGTTAGAGCTGTTCCCGGAGACTTATTGCAGAAATAGATGAGGAGCAAATCAAGACTACTATTCAAAAATGTACTTAGTTTTCATTTTTGTAATTATAAATAATAAATGATAATATCTAATGTCAAGTCTCCTAAATAGAGTATACTGAGTAATTTATTAGACATTCTTGGGGGAGGTTTAATCCTCAAATCAAGTATAATATGTATTATATAAGCATTTTGATTAAGGTAAATTATACTATTACATTAGTATAGTTAATGCTGGTTTTCTCTTAACATTTTATTTAATGAATTAAAAATTATTAAACTTTCTCTTCCCAGCAAACACCAAACAGCTATCATATGATGAGGTTGTAAATCAGTCTAGTCCAAGCAACTGTACTGTATACTGTGGAGGTGTCACTTCTGGGCTAACAGGTATGAGATCTTTACTTACGTGTCATCTTAAGATTATTTTTTTTAAACTGAAAAGGCTAATATTTGTAGATTTTAATATAACTCAAGTGTGGCTCTTGTTTTTTGTCTAACAGAACAAGTAATGCGTCAGACCTTTTCACCATTTGGACAAATAATGGAAATTCGAGTCTTTCCAGATAAAGGATATTCGTTTGTTCGGTAGGTGTGGTTTTTTTTGGGTTTTTTTTTAATGTTTTCTCCGAAATCCTTTCCATACATTTAACTTAGTGGTTTTCTTAAACATTTACTCTGGTTTTAAAGAAATGAAATTTCTCTAATACTTAGCACATTTGCCATTGTTTTTTAATAGCTCCCTCCTTCCAACAAAAGACAATAAAACACCTTTATTAAAAGTACTTGAACTGTAAGATCTTTGGGGGAGGGGAAGCAAAGAAAATATGCCATTTTATTGATTCTTTTATATGAACTGCCTGTTTTACCTCAGGGTTGGCTTGATTTTTTTAAATAGATTTATTCATAAATATTTTAAACAATTTATATTAGTGTTTCTTAATATTTTCAATAGGTTCAATTCTCATGAAAGTGCAGCACATGCAATTGTTTCTGTTAATGGAACTACCATTGAAGGTCATGTGGTGAAATGCTACTGGGGCAAAGAAACTCTTGATATGATAAATCCCGTACAGCAGGTGAGAGGGTTCTTAATTTTGCAGAGTAATTGCTGGGCTAATAATAGGCTATTTTAAAATGAAATTATTGATAATCCTTGTTAATAAGCTTCTAGCTAAAATGTAGTATGTAAGGGCTCTTCCTACGTATATTACAGTTTCAGAGTGGTGGTTCTTGGATTGCAGTGGTGACATGATGAATGTGACTGCCTCAGTTGACTCATGCTCACACAGTGGATTTTAAAGTGCTCCAACAAACCTAACAGGGTAGTAAGTTTTTTCTTAGTACTTGGTATGTTTATTCACATACTATTCGGAGAACTCACAAGCATGCCTGACTAAATTGAAACAAAAGCTGTAACTATTTAGGGTCTTAGCATTTTCTTTCATATTTTGCTGCTTTTGTTTTTCCAGGCAACCTTAGTTGTTCAAACTTGAGCCCACAAAGATTTCTATGAGGGAATTGTAAATGGAATGCCAAGATAGGAGTGAGAAAATCCTATAATGTTTCTTTAGTAAACTAGTACAGGAATAACTACTCTTTATATCTTCCCTATCTAAAGGGAACAGTGATGTGGATACAAAATACACGATACTGAGTTTAACATTTATTCTAGGGCCATTACCTACTGCCTTGCAAAGAGTATGCCTTTTAGAGCATCTCATAGAATTAACAATGGTATAACCTCATTTATTTTTTTGAGTCACATTCTAAATGCTTGTTTATCCTTTCATTTCAGTTATAATGTCCCTGTTTGTTACAGCTAAGTATTTGTGGTATATTAGCACTATATATGTACATATAACTTCAAATAATACTAAATTATCTGTTAAAATTCTACTTAATAGCAGAATCAAATTGGATATCCACAAGCTTATGGCCAGTGGGGCCAGTGGTATGGAAATGCACAGCAGATTGGCCAGTATATGCCTAATGGTTGGCAAGTGCCTGCATATGGAATGTATGGCCAGGCATGGAACCAGCAGGGATTTAAGTAAGCATATTTGATATTTTCCTTTATTATTAGCCTTTGGAAATGTGAAGAACTTAGGAAGAGACTTTAAGTAATTAGTAGATAATATGGTCCTATTTAAAGCAAAGCTTTACTTTAGCATTTGAAGAATGATTTTTAATTTATAGTTTTAAGTGTATCTTTTAAAAAATTTTCCTTGAAGTATGTTGCCTTGGGGTATAACCAGCATTGTAAGATTTTTGGTAATACTTGGTAAGGAGTCAACTATTATTTAAATATGAAAATAAGAGTTTAATAGTTGCTAAGCTTTTACATTACTAATGGTCACTTAGCCATTCTTGGGTACAATTATTTTGATGCTAGTTTTATTCACTATGCTTTTTTCCTTGCACAAAAGCATTATTCATATATTGTTAAGTGAAAGCTTCCTTATATGCCCTTCCTTACATGGGACTTTACTTAAATTTCTGAAAAAGAAACTGGAAATTAAAATATTTTACAGTTTTTATTTGAAAGAATCTTGTATTTGTAATCTTGAAAAATCTTAGGAGCTTACATATGCTAGTAATTGTTTTAATTTCTTCTGTGAGTAAAATCAATGCTGGTCCTTATTGTCTCAAATTGTCAGGTTTCTTTCAGATAGTGACTTGTTCAACGTATATCCGACCCAGATGGACAGTTTCCTTTCTGAGATTAGAAATTACTTCTTTTGAGTTCAGTGGGGATAATGTTTACAAGTTAAGGGTATTTCTTAGTTGTAATTGAACTAACAAAATTAAACTGCACAAATTAAACATATGAGGATGCTGGTGTTAAAGAGAAAAAATTTTTGCCTCTGCTTTCCTGGCATAACAATTATTATATTTAGGCTTAAGAGAAAGTGTTTTTCCCATGTATATGGTACTTGTTCTTTACCTTACATTTTATTTTAATTAGTGGATTTCCCCCTCCCCTCTGCTTCTTTCACATTCTTTACCAGTCAAACACAGTCTTCTGCACCATGGATGGGACCAAATTACGGAGTGCAGCCACCTCCAGGACAGAATGGCAGCATGTTGCCTAATCAGCCTGCAGGGTATCGAGTGGCAGGGTATGAAACCCAGTGAAAAAGGACTCCAGAATATAAAGCCAGTGGCTTGAGGCTACAGGGAGTGTAGTAAAGCTGTTGTTTACTTAAAAGATTTATCAAATCAGTTAGTGCAAATGTCAGATACAGTGTATTTATTTAAAAGATTCATTTTTTAATCATGAAATTATGTATCATCCACATTGTTTTAAAAAGAAACAAGATGCTGGATGTCTGCCAATTTTTGCCTTCATACCTTTTTTGATAAAGTTTCTCAGATCCTTGTTTCAAACACAAATGCAGGGATTGCTGCCACTTTTAAATTAAGAGGCAGAAAATTGCACAATGTTGAACTTTTTTCCACTAAAGTAGTGTGCAGTTCTAGTTTGCATTCCTGATATGGCTTAAAACGTGTAATATAAAGATGTAAAAAAAAAACAAGAAAAACCAAAACTGTGCATAGTCTAGAAGTTTTTTGTAATCTTCAGCTTGTGCACAATTCTGTTTTAGGTTTTTGGGTTTCTTTTTAAAGGTATTGTTGGAACTGTCCTATCTCCACTGTATTCCCTTTGGGATTTTTAAATATAAATTATTAGTTTACATCATTTTTGTATCTACATTTTTTCACAAATTTGTCTTGCCTTATTAAAGTTCTGTAAAATATACTTAAATGTGAAAAATGATGTTCACTTAAATTGAAAACTTTTCTCAGATGGATTGATAATTGCATTCATCTTGTGTTTTATATAAGAAGGTGCCTCAAGAATTTCCTGTTGGATTTGTTTAAAAGGATTTTTATCTTCTATGATAAACTTTGCTGTGTGCCAGGAAATATAAAAACAAAAAATTGTTGCTAAAGAAAATCTTTGAAATGTGATACAGTCTTACGAACCCAAGTTAATTTCATGTGTCAGCTTCTACATTTACATGTATTATTTCACTATGTAAAATGTTTCAACAGTTTAATATTTTGCACAGTTAGCAAACTTTGTATGTCATTTCCTTCATAGAGGTATCATGTGGAGTTGACAGATTTATAAGGTTTTTAGTTGTTTGCATGTGAATAACAAATACATACTTCAGTAGTCTTTGAATATAGTCATCCGCTCTTGTTTTTCAAGAATTTTGAGACACAAAGTTGTATGTAAAGGAATATATTAATTTGCCATTTTCTAGTTATATTTACTCAAAAAGAGTAAAATCAACTTAATATGTACAAATGATAGCTGTGAAACTGTAAAAAATCCTTATGTCAGGCTGGGGGCTCGTTATGAACTCCAAAATTTGCCTGAAGGATCAGCCGGGCAAAGCATTTTTTAAATGTTCAGAGGCCAAAAGATAAACAAACAAAAACAAAAAACCTTAAAATCCTACCTCCTTAAACAGCCTTCAAAGAGAAGAATCCTCAGTGCAATCATTATTTTGATTCTTTTGGTACCTGTTTTCCTGGAGTTCCCAATTTTATTATTTTGGGGTAGCTCCAAGCATTAAGAGGTTTAATCTTTGATGGCATTGTTCTAGTTTAGGACATTTCAGAGTCTCTTAGAAGAGTTGTGGGAGATTTTGTTTTGTTTTCAGTGAAAGTCACAAACTCCCTTCTTCATTGATTGACAAAGAGGAAGAGACCCCAATATACACATTTGGATGGTTGGTTGTTTTTAAGACCTTCAGAGAGCTCCAAGCATTTTACTTAGGAACGGAAAGCCTGTGAAATCTTTAGTTTCCTGGCCTATATCTTCCAAGTAGGAGCAAATGACTAAGCTGGTCTCTAAGCCAATACTCTTATAAACCAGAGCCCAGGAAAGACAGTCCATAAGTATCTCTGGAGCTCAATTCTATGCAGTTATACTGATGTTTCATTAAGTTGTACTTTTAAGTGTTGATACATTAAAAATTGCTTTATAGAAGATGAGTAAATTTTTTAAATACTTGGAAATTTTATTTCCTTATTAACTTACAGATCAGGGCATGCAATCAAAAGCAGCTTAAGTGAAATACTCAATAAAATATCAGGAAGCTATTTTTAGGTTCTTCTGGTTTGTGTTTCTATTTTAGGGCCCTCATTTTCTTATTCAAAAATATTTTATTTCCTATACATCTGTGGACTTCAGGGTAAATTATTGGGCATAAATAATTTAATCTAGCAAAAATATAGTTTTTCTTTCATTTTGACTATCTCAAGTAATAACATTTTTTATTAGCCAGTATATTTTCTTACTGCACAAATCTTAAAATGTACAATGACTACTTTTTTGAGAAGAAAGTGGTTTTACTCAAAAGATTACTACTGAACATATCAGGAACATTGCTAACTTTGATTTAAATTTTATTCTTAATGTTAAATCATTTAAAGATTTTTCAATCTAAATCATACTGGTATTAGTATCAGGTAAGGAAATTAAAGTTTTAAATATGGTTTCATTCTCTGCAATATGCAATCAGATTTTACTTTAAAATACATCTGGTACTGTAAAGAACATGAACTGATTGATACTTAATGAGTCATGAATACAGTATTCTTTGCCCTGACTGTTTGGATATTAAAGTTCCTTTATGTTTTCTATAACCTGTGGGATTTCTTGCAGTGTGAGAGAGATTGTGTGTCAGAGATTATTTTTTCATTTTGATCTAGCCATATTGTTATATTCACTCAGGTATTAGATTTTTTTTTAAATCTTATTCCAGAACCATGGTTTGTATGGGGTTACTACTTAATACAAAAAAGCATTGGCATTCTATAGATTTAACTCATTTTGAAACCAGTATCATTTTATTTATTGATATGCTCTCCCTGTTGAAAATGAGATTCACATTCTAGTTTTATTCTTTTGTTTGTTCCCTGTGCTCTCTAATCTTTTGTAGTGTGTTAAGAGTTCTGCTACATGTGAGAAGGCAATTGATTAGGTTTACTAAATGCTATAGGGTGCTTTTGAGGTTAGATTTTAATTGGAAAATAAAGTCTGTTTATAGGAAATAAAAAGCAAAACCTTTCAATGAAAGAGTGATGATTCATAAAAAATTATAATAATTTTTTGTAGAGGGTTGTTACATTTTTTCCAGTCACTACATTTTGACTGTTGTGTGTAGAACTTGAAAAACATACCTCTAAAACAATAGATTATAATTTAAGAGCCTTAACAAAATGTATGTGAATGTGTCTTCAATTGAATAGTATTTTATAATGTGGCTTCTAAAATTGGAGGCTGAAGTTAATCTCATAATAATTCAACCAAAAAAGAAAAAAGTAGAAATCTAACTCAGGGTTACTAGGCTAGGGTGAGATGCTGTACAAAAAATAGGGATCAAGCACAATTTTAATTGCTGGATAAATTACATTCCCTAGCTCCTTATCCTTGTTCAACTCTAAAATACCATCAGTCATACTTACATACACCAGGCAGGGTTTGGAGGATCCTTCTCTGGAAAACCTAAACAACTCGAGAGAAAAATGAGATGTTGACATATGAGGATCCTCACCAAAAAGCCAGCTGGCCACCAGTCCCCCTCAGGGGAGTCTGCCAATCAGTAAGCCCTACACAATCTTCCAAACCAGGTTTTTATTGCTTCACTTTTAAAGACAGCCAAAAGTCACCAGAAATTGAGAAAAATTTTGTGAAAGATGTATCTATCTAGACTAAAACTAACTTTAAATCAGAAAACCTGAGATGAAAGAAGATACTTAAGAAATCACAACAGGATACTAGTAAAATGTCAGAACAAGAAATTAAAATAAAAAATTCAGTGAGAATGTTAAAAGATAAGGAAATGTTCTAGAACAGAAATCGAAAGTGGAGAGGAAAAAATAAGGATCAATTCAGGAGTCTTAATATACAACCAGTAGTTCCTGGAAGAGAACTGAGAAAATGGGAGTGGTGGAGTTTATTAAAAGACAGGAAAATTTCCCTGAAGAGCGTTAAGATTGAAAAAAGGCTATTATTGAATTAACACACTAAATACATCAGACTCGTGTGAAGGTATACCACCATGAAATTGAAGCATCTCTTCCCTGAATTATTGTATTTCCTAGCTACATTTGCTTCATTCGAATTTTAAATTGTACATTGGAATGTTGGTATGTTTCATAATGAGAATATTCTAAAATTTACCAAATAGCAAAAGGATTGAGAATAATACTCAGTAGCAACTTTGGAAACCAGGGACAAATAGGGTACCACCCTCAAAAGTTTGAATGAATTATATACCCAATTACACTGTCATGGGTGACAATAAAGATTTGTAGACATGCAAATTCTGAAATTTTCTTCCCATTCACTGGTTCTCAACTACTGGATAAACTCCTGTCAAAACAAGAGTAAATTTAAAAATTGTAGTGTTTAGAAATAGTATCCAACACAAGAGTGAGATAAAGGGAAATCCTAGGATAGCAGCTGTGAAGTGACCTGGCAGTCAATCCAGGTGGGTGGTCAGTGCGCTAGACTAGATTATCTGACATGTTGGGCTACGTAGATAATCAGAATGGGACATTTTACAGACCTGTGGAGGATGTGAGAAGATGCAAATACTTGGAAGATAAGAGTTGTATGAGAAAGGAAATGTTCCGTTTCCTGAGCCAAGTACATCCACTAAGATATATTTTAGGGGTTTTCCTGAATTATAATCTTAAGTATTTGTATTATTGCACTGCTTTGGTTTTCTTTGGCAACTCGAGTTGTATGTTGGATTTCTCCTTCCTGGCATTTGCTTCTGTCACTGGTGGTTTTTACCTTTTTGGTTGCTTTTCTCACTTCTAATATCTTCAACATGCTTCCTGTGGTATCCAGACTTGCTTGTGTTCCTTTTTAGTCTTCATTTCTGGAGTAATACTGTCCTTTCCTGTTGACTAAGTTCTACCAATTTCTGTTTCACTTCAGAGACATCTCTTCCCTGAATTCTTACATTTCTTAGCTGCATTTGCTTCATTAGAATTTTAAAGTTCACACTGGAATGTTGGTAGATCATTTTCAGCTGCTTTGTGGGAACAGTTTTCTTGTGAGTTTTCTCCAGGAAAACTAGGTAAGTTTTGCTTCTCTTCCACATTTTTAATTAGAGTATCTTTGTACAAATGCTGTGGTTATTCCTTTCTGTTTATTCATATTTGAACCACTTGGATTTCAGAGCAAATACCAGCAGGAGGATGAAGGGGAAGGGACCCTGTCCAGATTTCTCACTCCCTTTGTGGCTACAATGAATTGTGTCGTCAAAAGCATAGCCATGGGGCCTCTCTCTTGGGATGTGACCTTATTCAGAAGTACTGTGCCATGTCCGAGCTCCCTTGGTTCCTTCATCTGCTATGTTAGTCCTGCCTTTCAAGGAGGTCCCCTAACTTGCTTTCTGAAAAATGTCACGTCTGAACCCTGTAGGTATTTGATACTACCTTCCTTCCCTACCTGTCTCGGCACTTACACACTTGTTCAGTCCCCCAGCAGGCTCCACTCAGGGTTTGACTCTCAATGAATATTTGCAGGTGATTTCTGAGATCTGTCACCACCAACCCCCTTTTCATGCCCTTTTTCCACAGTACACTCTTGGCTTTCCATCCAGTACCAAACATCCATTAAATGTGGAACTTGTTAATTTTCTCTGCTTCCCTAATTTCACTTAAGGTACTATTTGTAGGGGTCAGTGGTCATGTTTTCCTTGTTTATTTCTGTGATTTCTAGAAGAAGTGAAAAGGTCCAAAATGAGGCTGCTAACATGTTATCTATCAGAATCAGAAGCCTAAAGGAATCTTAATATGCAAATCTGATCATTAGACACACACACACACCCCATTTGAAAATCTTTGCTTCAAATTATATTTAGGATATAAATATCTAAAATCTTTAATATGGCCTGATGCCTTCTAAAGTTCAGTCTGTACTTATCCACCTTCACAGCAAGTCATTCTCCACTCTCCCATAAACCCTTCTGCTCCATGCTCATCTTTCAGCTTCTTGGGTAAGTATATAGTTTATTATCAGTCATGATCCAGTTAGGATGCAGAGATCAACACTAAAATTTGAGAAGGGAAATGTTAATACAAGTAGCTAAATAATAAAAGGTGGTTAACTATTAAAAGGGGTAAAACAAGAACTCAAAGGGATCAAGAAGTTGGATGTACAAATGCAAGCTGTTATTACTTACAGACAAAATAGACAATGAAAGAAGGGTTTAGGTGAGCCCTGAGATTCTTATCACTTCCAGAAGGGCTTGATTACCACAGGAATGTGCAGCCTGGTAAAGTGACATGCCAAAGAGCATGGACAGGCTGGAGCTCATAGAAATGGTCCACCCGGTGGGGAAACAGCTAATGTTGCCAGATTTAGCAAATAAAAATCCCAGATACTCAAATGATTTCACTTATCTGTGGAGTATAACAACAAAGCAAAAACTGAAGGAACAAAACAGCAGCAGACTCACAGGACCCAAGAATGGACTAACAGTTACCAAAGGGAAAGGGACTGGGGAGGGTGGGTGGGAAAGGAGAGATAAGGGGGAAAATGGGGCATTATGATTAACATACAATGTGGGGGTGGGGGGGACATGGGAAAGGCAGTATATATAGAGAAGACAAGTAGTGATTCTCTAGCATCTTACTATGCTGATGGACGGTGACTGTAATGGGATATGTGGGTGGGACTTGATAATGGGCAGAGTCTAGTAACCATGTCGCTCATGTAATTGTAGATTAATGATACCAAAATTTTAAAAAAAATTTTAAATCCCAGATAAGGAACCTACACTGAAAATTAATTGAAATTCAAACATAACTGGGTGTCCTGTATTTTGTCAATCCTCGAGACAGCTGCAGGCTGGGGCAGGTGGGGAGTGTAGCCTGGGGATACTGCTGGGGCAGGTCCCAAGGACCACTAAGAGGAGTCCACTGGATCTTCCATACACTCATCCACTGGCTCCCAAGCTGAATAAAAAGAGGAGAGCACCAGAACCCAAAAGGAAAGTGCCTTCCCATCACTATCACCTTGCATCATTCCCCCAGTGCCCTCTGTTGACAAAGCCTGACACTGAGCCCTCTGGCAAAGGGGGGGTGGATTGGGGGACTGAAAGACTCCCGCCACCTTTGCCACCTGAATACCTTTTGCCTGCTCTGTCTTCAAGTCTCCAGTGTCACTTCCTTTAAAATCAGCCTCTCAAACCATCTTAGACTTTATAGCATTTGCCATTATTTTAAATTATGTGGTTATATCTTTAAAACCTATGTTCCCCACTAAAAACTTGACTCTTTAATGCTGTATATATCCAGTGTTATGGTAATAGTAGGTGCTCAGTACATTTCTGTTGAATTAATCAGTTTTTATCCCAAACAATCTGGTTTTAACCAAACAGCTTTCTACCATGTGCTGAGAGTAACACCAGCTAGAGAACTGGGTGTGAAGTGGTAGAAGTTAAAATAGTAGGATCAAATCAAGGCCAATTCTTTATGCTATGCCAAGTAAATTGAATTTTTTTATCCTAAAAGTCTAGGGAGCCATTGAACTAATTTGTGTTTAGTCAAGAGGTCTAGGTTCCTGGCTTGCACGATTCAGTGGGTGGTGGGGCTAGTTACTGGGATGGGAAACAGAAAAGGAGCAAGTTGTGAGTGTAAGAATAGAAATTAGTGAAAAGGCAGGAGACGAGAGCTAATGAGTTCCATCTTTCAGAATGTGGAGCTTGGACACGTGACATTTAGGTAGAAATACCCAGTAGGTAATGAAAGAATTTAGAAGGGAGATCAAAGCTGGATATAAAGAGAAGTCGTCAACATATAGGTTCAACCTGTGGAGTGAAAACCACCCAGAGAGATCAGCTAGAGTGAAAAGAGGACTGAGGACAGAACTCTTAGGTTCCTTAGTGTTTAAAGGGGCAGGGCAGAGAAGCTTGCAAAGGAGAATGAGAAAGAACTGCGTGACTGGTGAGAGAAACAGGGAGTGTGATGTCGCAGATTGTCAGGGAGGAAAACATAGAGGAAAAAATACGAAAGTCAGGGGGGGAGCCCACTGCATTTAGCAGTAAGGAAGTAATT